TTTTGCTTCAAATTTTTTTTGGAAACAAAACAACATCAACCATCAAATCATCTCCATTATAGAGCTGAAAATATGATTCAGTTCATTAAGAAAAACAGACTAACCAAGATACTGATCAAGTTCAGACACACTTCCTCCTCCTCCCCCAGAAAAAGCTAATTTCTTTATCTGGAATCTGCTAGACTATGTCTAAATTATAGAGGAACCACTGAGTAAAATAATTTCTTTTGTCCAGAATACAATTTGCTGAACTCAAACACCAATGGGTTCTTGCGTCAAACTAAAAATCACATATTTTTCACAGTTACTTTCCCAAGATTATAGAGAAAAGAAGTCCTTTGTAATAGCAACTTCTGTTGAGATCCATGAATGACTACATGCAGAAAGTGGCAAAATCTCCTTGGAGTTTGTTAGAAGATTCCTAAACCTTCTAAATACTGCTTAGAGAGGATAAGATTATTCAGATAATTTTGGTATGATATTCCTAAATATTAATGTTTTTTCTAAATCAAACCCAAGCTTCACATTATTGTTTAAAGTACACTGAAATTTTAAATTACGCCAGGTGCAAAACGATGGGGAAGAGTTTTGATTTTTAGTGAAGTATGTATTTTTGTGTCAGTAGAGACATCAATACAGCCTTTGTAATGGATAACAACTCAAATAAGACTAACCAAGAAGCAGCAAATGGCAACCTCTTCTACTTATTACGGTACTTGACTGTTTGCCTGTGGATTTACTTTCAGGTGATACATGCTTGGTATTAATAATGAAATTAATAATGAAATGGTTTAACATAATCACTTTTTTTTTTTTAATGTCCCCCTCAATTAACTCATGTCCATGTAGTCAAAGGACTAACTTAAGGAAGTGGTTGTCTCTATTTTTTTCAAAATGGCCACTGATTTTGGAAGCACTCAGGCATCTCCACATAGGCCCTAGTGAACGTAATTTCTCATGACATAGCATCTTCTAGAGTAACTTATTTCAAATAAAACATAGTATAAATGACAACAATTCTGATCTCTGATTGAAGTTAAACGCTAATTTTGGTTTATGATAATGATTCTTCGAGGTGCAGGTTAACAGGGAAGACCCACAGCACTTAAGGTGGATATACATCTGAGAGCTCTAAAATTCTGTGAATCAGTCTTCTGCTTCTTAAAAAGTTTGCTACACTGACAGCTCGATTAAATGACACGTTCCTCTACCTTACCTTTCTTCCACTACTATTAGCCCAATAATACCTATATAAATGTTTATAATAGAATAGCTTCTTCCATCACATGAATTGAAACAAATACACAAGTATAAAGCAGAAAGACTGTATGAGGGTTTATAAAGGTAATACCAGAAAACAAACAAAAGTAAGAAAACATCAAACAAGTGTACTAGTAAGATATTTTAAAAAGTAGATCAGTCCTTATCAGCAAACAACAGGATTAGACTCTCTTTTCTAGCTATAGTCAATAGACAACACTGGTTTTTATCTAACCTAAGTACAGGAAAAACTTCACAGAAGTAAAGCAATTAATAACTAACTTCAAATATGAGTAAACTGCATTAGCAAAGTTCAGAGGAATTCAGTTTTACATTTAATCCAGACTAATTCATCCAACTCTCATTATCATTAGCAAATTACTGTATAAAGCTTTTGCTTACAAAAAGGTTAAGTTAGTTCCTTTAGACGACGAAGGAAAATCATCCATCATAAGAAAAGGGACTGCAGACTTAATAAAGCCTATTCTGTTAAAAGATAACATTAAAACATGCTTGCTGCAACATGTGTATCTCCTTCTAGGAGAAAAGCTTCTCACATTGCAGAGCTGAGTTTCTATCCTTGTGAGCAGACTGATAGTTAATCTGATTCATTTTGTCCTATTCTGGGCTTCATATCTGTTTTCATCCTTATGCTTCACTATTGCTGGAATGAGAACAGCTGTGAATGGGCACGTTACTATCAGCACATTCTTCAGAGGATCTGTACATGGGGTCTGACAGCCTAAATAAATCTGCTCCTATTCTGAAGACAGGAAAAATGACAATTTCATAAATCTTCTGTCAGTATTCAGCACATTTTCCATCATCTGCCCCTGAATTCCATCTTCTTCATTCCACAAAAATGTATTCAAAGGGAATGCAAGCTGTAGCTTAAATTAAATTAGGTAATTGCATTTTTTTTTAATCCCAGTATATGACTTCAGATTTTATGCAGAGGTTAAATTGTATTAACACTTCTGGAAACACATCACGTGCAGTAAAAACAAAATAGTATCTTCTCCTCTGTTCTCTTCCTGTTGCAGGCTCTAGCTTGCTATACTCCAAATAAGGTTAAAATTCAGAAGGAGAAGGCAAAGATGATTTTAAGCTGCCTTAATTTCCCTCCAGGCTTAGACACCCAAGCAGAAGTCATCTTTGTTTTGAACTACATCTCTATGTTACCTACAGGCTGCTTTGCACCTTAAGAAAGCACTGAGACAAGAACTGTTTACCTTCTGGTCCCATATCCAACATAACAATTCCTATAAAGCTGTAGAAGGTAATCAGTGCTAGGTCTATGCACATCAAATTCTGAAAAAATGGGAATTCCTATAAATAACATTTGAACAACTTATGTCTTCTGTACATAATGTAAGAGCAAAAGAACAGGTAAATGGGAATCTACCATTTTATTTTGACCCTTGCTAAGCAATTTTTTGATAAAAGTTTCCATCCAAAAATTCAATTCCTATCTAGAAAGAGAATGGGGAATATGAACTGCAGGATCACAAAGAAAAAGTCACAGTTAAAAATAAGCTGAAACAAAATGACAAACAAAAGTTGTAGTTTTCATGGGTTGTAACTGACAGAGCCACCAGTGTGTTTATTTAGGATGCACTCTAGTGGACACACATGTAACAAAAATCAAAGAAAGATACAAATGTTATGAAAAGATAGAAAATGAAAGCCATATGTTGGAAGTAGTAATTAGAATTATTTATTAGCATGTTTTAAAATACTGTCTTATAACTTGAACATATTTCCTAATTAAATATGAAGGCTATATGAAGGCTGAAATTTTCATAGTCAACATGGTTGGACATAAAATGTAAATGGACACAAGTTACTTACCAATTTTTGAAAATTTTAATCTAAATAACAAGATTCAGTTATACATACTGGCTCAAAAAAGAAACTCGATCTATTTATCCAGTTACTCCATCCTTTTGAGATTGGCACAAAAAGCTGCTGTGCATACAGTGTTTATAGGTGTAATTAGAACTGTAGTATCTTAAAATGCAGCCTTAAAATGATAGTATTTTAACTGTTTCTAATAAATATAATCATAAACTGTGACAAAATCAGTTTACTGGAATATCAACCACAAGGGCATAGAAATTGCAAACCTATACTGATACAGAATAAATGTAGATAGCAAACCCTGACCACCTAGTCACAAAAGTAGTTCCATTCTTCATTACTTAAAAAGTTACACAAACATTTCTAATTATTTACACCTGGAAAGTGACATTTTTCTCTTTTGATTTTAAAGATGTTCATATAAGACATGCCAATTAACACCACCCAAAAAGCAATATGGCACTAAAGAGGGCAACAGGATTTTTTTAATAAACGTACTTTATTATTTTTATGGGAAAAATAATATATTACTATACTACAAATGAATAGTGCTTATCTTTCTAAAAATTGATAGGATTATGCCTAGTACGAGCTACGTGAACAGAACAAGTTGTTTAGAACAGGAAGATATTTATTACATGATTGACTTTTGCCTATTGGATATATAGATATTTTTAACAGTTTGCCAAAGACAGCAAAACCCTTAAATCTAGCTACAATATAAACGAATTAAACTGACATTATCTCCAAAATCCCTTTCATCCCAAAACTGAAGAATGCAGTGAATGCACTAACTATGCCCTGAATTTGTAACGAAGAATATTTTCATTATACGATATTGGCAATAACTTAATGTTAATTGTCCAACTAACCTGCATTATTAGAAGACACTGAGATGCAAAGGCACGTTTTAGCCAAGAAGTGTAGGATTTCTTAATGCTGGTGTCTTTTCCATGTATAATGAACAGACACGGAACATTCTTGACAACAATCTTGGTACCAAGATACCAGCGATTACAGAAATTTGTTCTTATAAAAATTAATGCAGTCTTTAAGGATTACAAAAATTATTTTTATAGATAAATATGGATCAAGCTAAATATTCCTCAAATTTTTTAGAGGTGAAGCTTTGAGAACTAATAATGGTATTTGGTAAAGACAACACTGATGTATTGATTTGCAAATTCAAGACAAATGCAGGAAAGATTATTTTAAGACTTGACTAATCAAAATTGATATGCAGACACTTGCAGCTCACCTAATATCAGGTGATAATAAAGCCCAGAGCAAACACCTAGTGTTACAACTTCTAAGACAGACAAGATCTTTTAGTCTACTGAGTAACATAGAGTTCAATTTATCTCTTCCAGAAAAATTGGCAAATCTTCCGATTTGATTTTTGCATCTACTTTGATGTGCAGAACTCTTTCCGTCTTCTAATCTATAAAGCATTCCCTCCTTCTATCAGAAATCATTCAAATTCTTGGAAAATTCTTTTTCAATAATGTTTTATTCTTTTAATATTGATTCAAATTATCATATTGTAGCCTCTACTCCAAACTAATCTTGACACATTAATTATATCTATAATTATTATGTTGTTACACTTCAAGAATCAATGGGCAATAAGTAGAAAATCTATTTACTGCTTTCACTACAATTGCAGTTTTATTCCTCTGAGTCAGCTGAGCTAGCTACAATGGTTTAAGAACAAAAAAGAAAGCATCACATGCCAGAATTAACAGACTTTATACAAACACCCAGAAAGCACAGAAACTGAAACAACAGGTATGTAAATCAGTTCTATATATAAAATACATAAATTAAGACATTACGCTTCAGGATCTACAAGTAATGAGTAGAAAATATATTTACTGCTTTCAGATCAGTTGGGAACCTTCTTGTTCTGATTCTGCCATGAGATCTGTTATACTCTAAAAACAAAAAAGAAATTCTATCAGTTGCCAGCATTAACTGAACTTCGTAAATAAAAAAATAAATAAGAAAATAAAAAAGAGGAAAAAAGAAAAAGAAAAAACCCACATGACAAACAAGTCGGTATTCATCAATATGTTCAATGTATTCTTCCATTCAGTGAAATACTATGAAGTTTATCACCAGACTTTTATTATAAAATCCAGCAAGTCTGGATGAAGTATTATGATTCTGAGAATGGAATAGTTTCAATAGTACAAGTCTATATATTTTAATTGTATTGATCTGTTCTTAATTTGTAGTTTAATTCAACAAATATATTACTGTAAAACCTGAAATAACATCACCAAAGGCCAACGTAATCCAACTTTAAACGACTTTTGTCATGAAAACTTGGAAGATGGCACATACAAGGAGAAGCAGGTAAGTTTACTACTCATTTTCACTTCTGGTTTTGCAATTCACTTACTTAAGAACGCATAAAATATGCCTGAAGCCTCAAGAATACTTTTTAATATGTAATTACCAGAAAACAATAAAAATTGGGGCTATATGAGACCTTGAGAACTCAACGGATTTACCTTAGTGAAAAAAACACCTGTGAAAACCTGACCCTAAGAATAGTCATAAGTATGTTCATAAATATATTTAGAGAACACTTATAAAACAGGCTGTTATTAAAGCAACCCTAAGCATCATCACAATATAAATTCTGCGCTAGAATTACACTACCGATACCAGAAATTAAGTGAGCAAATCATTAAGGCTAATAATAAAAAAGGTTCTGATAATGATGTACTAAAATTAGTATATCAAAATATCAAGTTGTACCACTTGGAATACTCTAACTGGAAAAAGTCAGATATCAATATCTTTATGACCAGTGAATACTCATAAAGCTGAGTGATTTCACAGGAGTTGGCAGTATCTGTTAAATGTACTGCCATGCCTTATAATAAATGAAGGCTGATTCATGGCTTCTCATTTCCCTGGACTGTCAAGTATAAAAAGAATGGCAAAAAAACAACAAAAAAAAAAAACTGGGCATAGAAGATGTCCGAGGATCACAATACAGAGCCATAGTTGTAGTACTGAAAGCAACACATTCATGCTGGCACAGGGCTCAGGTAACTTGACTCTGAGCAGGTCCTAGCCTTAGTGAGCACTGTATGTCCTTAGTATCTGGTCTTTTATGTTAAATTTTTGCTCAGATATCTCTGCACAAGAGTGCATTCTGCTGCACAAAAAATACACTTTACACCAACCAGAAAAATATTAATAACCTCAATCACTCAAAAACGAGTCATCTTTTGTGATTTAGCACACATTGAATATGACTATCTGTTGACGTGGCAAAGGAAGGCTGCCTCCTCTCTGAGAATATTCATGCTTTCATTTTTAACATGTCTGAATACAAAAGGGCATTTTAAATCTTGAGGATTTAGTCAGCCAACACCACACAGTCTTTTAGAATGGTTTAACTTGTACAGAGAATAGGCTAAGGACAGTTTGAAGGTTATGGCCAAAATATCATCCCATAAAACCATAGTACAGAATCAGCAGAGTCTTAACTGCAACAGTTTTAACCTTTGATATGTCAGCACAGAAAAGCAAATCTGTAAGAACCAATCATTTATAATCTCCCTGTTCTTTCTAAACACTTACCTCAAACTGTCCATTCTCATCTAGCTCCTCAACTCTGGTCAAATTAGGCGCTCCAGGTCTATCTGTAAGTTCAGCTATCGTCTTTTCATTTTCCTATGGCAATGAAAACCAGTTTTCAGTTAAAAGTATGCCATGTCATGAATATCTATAGAGAATATTTCAGATGTGTTAAAATGACATTATGTATTAATACAGAAATAATACTTTAGATGCATGCTATACAAATGTATTAGTATGTGAATATGGTCTTTGTATGGTTGTTAAGACTATTTTTATCAGTTTTTTTAAATAACAGGAATTTTGGTTTAAATTTCTACATATTCATTTTTCCTGTCACTTTCATACTGCCATTTTTCTACGATTATGTTCTATCAGTATTTTAACAGAGTGCTCTAAAAATATACATTATCTCTAAAATATGACATGCTCCACATCAGTATATGTTTTTACTGAAACAGCATTAAAAAACCATACATTTACACAGACATCTGTATACGCATTCTTCTGTTAGTATAAATTCCTGTGCACCAGGAGGATTTCAGAATCAAGAGGCATCCCAATTCCAAACCACAATTCCTTTTCCAGGTACAGTAAATGGACTTTGCGCAGACACACAGTAAAACATTACTGTCTAGACAGTTAAATTAGATATGCTTAAGTTATACTATTTCCTCATAAATACTGTCAAGGAATGTGAAAGCATCAACTAAGCTGACCTTACGCTCAATTTTGCAATAAATTTATGCTTTGTTCTGAATATAAACTAAATAAACCTAACAGAACAGACCAAAATTCAAGTATAAAACCCAGACTAGAAGCAAAGTGTTAGACATTCTTCCCCCATTTTCACAATTTTTTAAAAAAATTATGTGTTAGTTCAACACCCATGGGTTTCTGCCTTGTGTTTCGTATTTATGTGCCTGCATCTGGAAAAGACAGCTGATTAACAGTATTTTCAAACCACTGACTAAGCTTAGACTTAAACCTCTTGATCTTTCTGTTGTAACAACATTTCATCTTCTTCGTTCTGCAGTTCCAGCTCCTCACGTTCTTGTTCCAACTGACCCTGCAGCCAGTTTAAGAAAGGACAAATTAGAAGGAAAGAAAACCACATCATTCTTCCCTATCCCATTGCTTACAATGTATTTCATGACTGAAATCTTAAATAAAATAAAAAAGGAAGCAGAAAACATAACTGCAATGTGAATAAAATAAAGCCCTTTCAGTATCATCTGACTCAACGTTTTCGTAGGTTTTAGACTCGCATGGATAGAAAGGCTTTACTACCAATAGGGAGAAGAAATAGACAACTGAAGTTAGTGTACACTTAAGATACTGTCTCATTCCTCATGCTCTTTATCAGTCTATATTCATTATCGCCTATATTTTGGATTAAGCTCTTTGATACTTCCTGTAGTATCTAGCACAGACAGATGAATCCACATAGAATCAAATTTATAGAAAAGATTGGTAAGCAATGCCATTAACATTCATCATCTTAATCCTAAACCTTTAAAATTTCCAATTGGAAATATCTAATACAAAGTGTTTATTATTTGTGAGCCTAAGTCCTATTGCATCAAAACTTCAGAAACTGCATAATCTAAGTGTTCACATTCAACAACACTAGGGCATAGAGAATACTGTTTGCTGTAGCATTTTGAGAGCAGTGACTACAAACACTGTCATATTGTAGTAACTACTTCCCACAATCCTTTTTGGTACGTATAATCAAAACATGTCTGAGTATGTGACTAGCCAAAATTGTGAGTTAGGTTAAAAAAATGTGTCTAATGTGAGTATTATTCAACATCTTTCCCTTAGTTTACATGAAATAATTTATTTAATTCTCTGTGAATTATCTCTAGACACAATCTCATATTCTTGATTCCATTTACTATTTTAAATGACTCATGAAATCCTTAGCACATAACCTTTGGTCTGCAAATTAGTAAATTCCAAATTTAAAAAGCGCAAGTGAAATAGAATGAATGCATCTTACACTAGAACTGGACTTAACAAGATCAGCACATATTTAAAATTACACTTTTGATTTTAACATCATGAAAGTCAGCCATGTAAAAAAATCCAGTCAGACAATGTCAACATTACCACAGCAAAAGAGGCTGTTACATGTGTGGTCAAATTCATGTGACTCCTTTATAAAGGATAGTTAGAAACACAGATGTTATCTTTCTCATATTTCAAGTCCACACAGTATAAGATTCAAATTGCTTTATGCCAACAGAATGCTCAGGTAGCTAAGGAAAGAAAAAGGCACCTCATTGGAGGTGCTATAAATACTGCTTAAATATGCAATTTTTATTCACTGATTCCCAACCATTTTCAGGATTCTGTAATTGTGTATACATTCTCATTACCTTTTTTTGTCTTACTGATACTACGTTGAAGTAGCTTAAGACAATGATCGGTTATTAGTCCCAGGCCTCCTAGCAGACCTGTCAAAATTTTTTGCAATGATTTCTAGCTTTATTTGCACCAGCTCTTGTTCATAATTAACTACAGAGGGCAGTCTACTTATTTTAAGTTACTTCTCATGCAAGTCTTAAATTGCTTGCTTTTTACCTTAGGCTCCTTCATTTTTTTTTATAAGATTTTACCACATAGTACGTAAGTTTTCCTTGCCATGTGCTGACTAATCATTTCAGTTATTATTTAGAAAAGTGAGGTTAAAATACTTGTTTTATGCTGCTTTCTATCGAAATCATTATACAGAAATTAGAAGTATACAGAGCGCTAAAAGATGCCACAGCATCATACACTATTTATAATTATCTATTATTAAGTATTATTAACCTGATGTTGTTCTTCAAATTTCCGCTGGATCATTAGCTCTTCTTCCTCCATTTTTCTTAACATTTTGAGTTCTACCAGGGCTGCCTCCCGTTCTTGTTCCAGCTCAATCCTCTCCAACATTCTCTGTTTCAGAGATAACAGAATCAATTAAAAAAATAAAGAGAGATTAAATACCATGAATTATATTGTCATGATTTTTTTTGCACAAGGCGGATCCACCTTTTTTTCTTCATTTAAGATTCTTCCATAATTGTAAATCCAATGTGCCAGGTACTCTATTGGATCTGCTGGCCGATGCTCTACAACCTCGGCCAGTCCCATTTTCAAGCAACTTCCCAGGCATCTCTTCAGATACTGAGACTCCATTCACATCTACTAACAACAAACAGACAGGCATTAGCCATCACTATAAGAATTAAATTAGGGTTTTTAAGAATTATTGCCTCAGGTACCAAATACTGAATATAACACTACTCTTTTTATTAACCTGGCAATTAATAGAAGAAAGTTATTTAAATTTAATATTGGTTTAGTTCTTAAAAGCTCCAATGATAGATTAGTTACACCAAGCACTGCAGAAAAAATGCTCAACACCCCCCCCC